GGTAGGGCGACGGGGCTAGGGCCGGGGCCGCAGGTATGGCGACGGGACCGGGGTCGCAGGTGGCGCGACGGGGCCGGGGTTGCAGGCAGGGCGACGGGGCCGGGGCCGTAGGTAGGGCGACGGGGTGCGACGCGCAGGTCCCCGTCGCCCGTCGCAGCGCCTCCCGGGGGGGGCGCGCCGAGTGACGGGGCAGAAACCCGTCGCGCGCCTCGGGGCGCACGGCGGGCAGAATACCGCCGCGCGCCTCGGGGCGCACGGCGGGCAGAAAACCGCCGCGCGCCTCGGGGCGCACGGCGGGCAGAGAGCCGCCGCACGCCTCGGGGCGCACGGCGGGAAGAAAAACTGCCGCACGACACGGGGCGTGCCGCACAGAGAGTAGCAGTAGTAGTTGCAGCGGAAGCAACGAGGTGGTGAGCCCACCCACAGGATCGATCCAAGGGGATCGACCTGCTCTGATAGCATGTGAAAGTTAGAAGAGAGAATAGGGCTGCACTAGCAAGAATGGGGATACAAATAGGAAACCCTAGAAGGGTTGTACTCGCTATAGAGCACCCCACTACAGGCTAGAGCATAAGATAACATTCTGACATTCGCCGCACCGATACTATTTATGAAGAAAAAAGACAGGGGTTTTCGCATGTGTATCGACTACAGAGCACTGAACAGGGTAACAGTCTAGTCGCAGTACCCCATTCCCCGCGCCGACGAACTGATCGACCAACTGCGAACAGCACGGGTTTTTTCGAAAATCGATTTACGGGGAGGTTACCATCAGATTAGGGTCGAACCATCGGACTGCGCCAAAACAGCTTTCAGGACTAGATACGGGTCGTTCGAGTACACTGTGATGCCATTTGGGCTGACCAACGCACCGGCGACTTTTCAGATGACCATGAACGAGGCATTCAGGCCGCTCTTAAATAAATGTGTAATAGTTTACCTCGACGACATTCTAGTGTACAGTCGGGATAAGTAGCAGCACTTAGCAGATCTGGAAGCAGTGTTTAAGGTTTTAGACGAACACATATTACTGACCAAGGGTTCCAAGTGCGAGTTCTTCCAGGATAGGTTAGAATTTTTGGGGCACGTTATTTCAGAGGCTGGAGTTGAAATCGACCCAAAGAAGCTGGATACGGTAAAAGCGTGGCATCCCCCGACGAACATGTGAAAGTTTAGAAGAAAGAAGAGGGTTGCACTAGCAAGAATGAGGATACAAATAACAGACCCTACAAGGGTTGTACTCGCTATAGAGCACCCCACTACAGGCTAGAGCATAATATTCTGACAGAACATCACGGAGCTGCAGAGTTTTTTAGGGTTCGTTAACTATGTGCGTCGGTTCGTCCCCGATATGGCACGGTTAACTGCCCCACTGACGGATTTACTGCGAAAGGGGGTCGCTTTTACGTGGGGGGAGAAAGAGCATGCTGCCTTCTCTGCCCTGAAAAATGTTCTCTGTTCACCACCCGTCCTGCGCATCGCCGACCCTTACGGCCCATTCGAAGTAGTTACCGACGCAAGCGATATCGCCATCGGAGCCGTACTGCTACAGGATTTCGGCAATGGCCTACAGCCTATCGCATACGAGTCACGAAAACTGCATCCGCCCGAGAAAAATTACCCGATACACGACCGCGAATTGTTTGCGATCGTGCACGCGTTCAACGTATGGCACTGTTACTTGACTAACGCGGACGTGACAGTACGGACAGACCAAAAATCACTACAGTACCTTCGCGCACAGCCACACCTCAACCCACGACAAATTCGCTGGCTCGATTTCCTCGAGTCCAACTTTCACTACACGGTCACTTACAAAAAGGGAGCCTCGAACATCGCCGACGCACTGACCCGCCCCACTGCCCAGATCCACGCAATACTACTCGCCCAGACAAGCCTGCTACTGACAGGCCTATTCACCCACGGGTACCAAACGGATCCATTCTTCACAGGAGGAAATTCGCAGCAGTTCACAACAGCAAAGGGAGTCTATTACGTAAAAACCGGGACTGACCGCATCTGGGTGCCTGGGTATACACTGCTTCGAGAATTACTGTTACAGGAGGCACACGACGGAGTTACCTCGGGGCATTTCGAAGTAGAAAAAACACGGCAGCAGCTGCAGCGGTATTATTACTGGCCCGAAATGTTGACTGACGTACAACGACACGTGGCATCGTGTACCACTTGTCAGCTCATGAAATCATCACGACAGCGGCCGGCGGGACAGTTGCTGCCGATACCACCCCCGGAGCGTGCTTGGCAGCAGGTGACGATGGACTTCGTCACGGGGTTACCAGCCGGGGCGAGTGGGAACGACGTGATCCTGGTCGTCGTCGATCGACAGACGAAAATGGCACATTTCGCAGCCTGCAAAAAATCAATCACAGCCGAAGAAACAGCAGGCCTCTTCATCTCCACCGTCGTTCGACTGCACGGGATACCAGCCGCGATCATCGGCGACCGCGATACGAAATTCACCATCAACTTCTGGCGGAACCTGTGGCAGCAGTTCGGCACGCGACTATAGTTCAGTTCATCATACCACCCCGAAACCGACGGACAGACAGAACGGACAAATCAGACCATGGAACAGCTCATCAGGGCCACGTGTGACGACCCGACCACGTGGGAACAACAACTGCCACTAATCGAATTCGCGTACAACAACTCGCCATCCGCCACGACCCAACAGTCACCATTTTACCTAAACTACGGACAAGACCCGACAGTACCCATAACCCCGAATCCCGACAACCCAGTACCACGAGCACAACAGTTCGCCGAAATATACAAGCAGCACGGACACGGGCAGTAGACGCAATAAAAAAATCGAACATCATGGCTAAACGCAACGCCGACCGCCACCGCAGACCTGTCACTTACCAGCCGGACGACTTAGTTTTATTTGACACTCAGAACCTCCGACTGCCCATCACCCCGAAACTCCGCCCCCGATACTGCGGGCCATTTCGCATAAGCCACATGCTTACACCCGTCACCGCCCACCTCCTCCTCCCTGCTGACTGGTACGTCAGCCCCTCATTCCACGTCAGCCTACTTCGCCCTTACGTCCCGTCCACAAGCCAACTGCCACGCAATCGCCCAGCCAGCATGACAAGACCACCAACTGAACCAATCATCACCCCCGAGAAAATCCTGAGTCACAGAGTTCGCGACCCTCGAGGAGCCCGAAGGATCGAGTTCTTACTCCGCTGGAAAGACCGTGCACCCACCGAAGACAATTGGGTTCCCCTGGACAGAATCGAAAACCACCCCGTCCTCACCGAGTATCTGCGCAACCGCAATTTCAGGGATGTACACGTACTTTCGTAAGGAGGACCTCCTTAGGAGGGGGGGTAGTGCAAGGAAAATTCTTTTTCCTTACTTCACATCCCTGCTCCACGCGTACATCACTGTAGCACCACAGTCAGCACCGTTACCACTCGCGACCCTCGCACCGACAATCCGCCCGCCACCTTCGCACATCGCACCCCGACCTCACGGCTCGGCGGGTAACCCGCGCTCCGGGCCTCCGCTTCGACACTTTTTCCCAACCACAGTCCCAGGCCCGTCGCGCGAAAACCACAGTCCATTACCGTTACCACTGTAGTTTTGCTATATATCCTTCGCTCATGCCTTAGCTCATTGCACTCTTGCTTAGATAGTGTAATTCTCATTCGTTCACTCAATTGCACTCTTAACAGTCGTGAAGATTTTTCGAGTAATGAGTTTTTAAAAATATTGACGAACACGAATCCCAACCAGCGATCGGAATCCCAGCACTCAATTTTTTTAGGTAATCCCAATACTGTCCCATCGAGTCGCGTTTTCATAGATCACCTAATCTAGCAAGGCTTTATTCTAGTAAGCCGTCATTAGCGCACAAGTAGCTGCCGTGGCAGCCTCTAAGAGAATAGGGGAACCGCGAATAAGCGTGTGCTGGTCGTTTTTATTTCATCCGGTTGGAGGAAATGCCGATCGCACCGCCAGCTTCTAAGACGCCTCAAACGTAGCCGCGAATAAGCCTGTGCTGGTCGTTTTTATCTGACGAAATGCCGATCGCACCGCCATGCAGCGCAGGAGGAATCCCCGTACGGACGTGCCACGTGTCGCTCGAGGGGATGGTCTTTCACGGGTTTCACGGGGTTCTTCCCGAGGAGCGCGTGTTGGGGCAGAAGTTCGTGGTTGACACGTGGATGTGGCTTGCGGATTCGCCGCACCAACATACGTTACAAGAGGATTCGTTACAAGAACATCCGTTTGATTACTCTCACGTCTACAAGTACGATGCCCTGTCATCGAGCATCTGCCTTCGTGCCACGACTTGAACTGATCTCTCCTCTCCTCTCCCTCGTTCTCCTCACCCTCCCCCCCACTCTCCCTTCCACTCTCCCCTCTCCCCCTCCTCCCCTTCCCCTCCGCGGCGTTTCTTTGCGCCCATCGTGTCGTTGATACCCCCTCCGCTCCCCCCTATGACGGGCCCCCCTACATTTTTGCGCCCATCACTGCCCTTCGTCCTCCCTGCCCCCTCTCCTTTCCCTCCCCCCCCCCTTCCCTCCTTCCTTATCCCCTCCTCCTTCTCCCTATCCTTTCCCGTTCCAGCATTGTGCGTGCGGAAATAACTGGCCCCCCTCACCTCCTATTGGAGAGCCTGGCGTATTCCGTGGGCCGCCAGCTGCTGCTGACGTGTCCTGAGCTGGCACGCGTGGCTCTCCGCGTCAGCAAGCCACATGTCGCCTTCACAGGGGTGCTCAAATCCGTGGGAATCCAGCTGGAGTGCAAAAGGCAAACACTGTGAGTGCAAATCATACTAATTTTATATTTAAAAGCATTAGCCTTAGTTCTGTTATGGTAGCTCTCTGGTCTATTACCTGGGTCCTCTCCCACTTTAAATGAACCGTTTGTTTCACATAAAATATTCGTTTCTGTTTTGGCAGTATTTTACTCATTGTATCAAACTAAGAACTCAATTTGGAAGAGTTCTAACGCAAGTGGTCATGCTCCCTCCATCCCTCCTTTCCCACCATCCCTCCATCACTCAATTTTTTGCCAACCCTCAATCCTTCCAGTTCCCGCCACCTATCCATCCCCCGAAATTCCCCTCAGGCAGAAGGGAAGGCGTACAAATGGGTGACACTGAAGAGAAGAAGGACAGACGAGGAGAGGAGGGGGAGGGAGGGGAAATGCAGGGGCAGCGGGATATTGAGACCCTTTTAAACAAGACAGAAAGAGAAGAGGAGGACGAAAGAGGGGGGAAGCAGGGACAAGGGGATGCGACGGTGGTGGTGGTGGAAGGAGAGAGTAGTATGCTGGTGCTGGAAGGACAGGGCGGGGCAGGGGGGGGGCAGGAGCGGCGAGATGCTGCTGTGGTGGTGGTGGAAGGAGAGAGTAGTATGCTGGTGCTGGAAGGACTGGTGTTCTATTGCCAAGGCAGGGGGGGGAGAGGCGAGGGGAAAAAGGGGGGAGAAGGGGGAGAGGGAGGGTTTTCCGGTGCAGGTGTCAAGAATTCTCGTGCTGGCGTTGAGAGCTGTTATACACGTGTGGAGGTGGACGTGTGTGCGTGGGTGAACCTGGCTGCTGCAGCGCAGTCAGATGAGCTTCAAGACTCGGTGGACTATGGGGAGATCTACACGTGAGTGTTTCTCTTGAGGCTTCTAAATCATCTTGGGTTACCTCGTTGCTGCAGCGCAGTCCGATGAGCTTCGGGACTCGGTGGACTATGGGGAGATCTACAAGTGAGTACGATTCCTTGGATGGTGGTGGTGATAACTAACGCATGACACTCAACATCTGTACACATTGGCCATCTCTCCTTTCAATCCTTCTTCTCTTCCCTCTCTCTTCCCCTCCCTCCTCTTCTTTGCCTGATCCCTCTCGCCCCCTCCCACACCAAGCTCCTCAAGGCTCTTCTCCTTTCCTCGTACACCCCAGAAGTCCCAAATTATTTTTGTTTAGTTAGATAGACTCGTGACACCCTACACGTCCCACAGTTTCTCCTCCCCGTCATTCTGTTCTGCTCTTCGCTTTTCACAAACCCCCCTATCCCTCTCCCCCTCCCCGTACCCCTCCCCCTCCCCCTCCCCCTCCCACTCCACCTCTTACTCAGCATTGCACGACGGCACGTTGAGAGCCATCAATCCCCCCCACTCGCCTCCCTCGCACTCCCCCCTCTCGCCCGCACCATCGCTATGACCATCCGCACATCCCTGCCCTGCGTGAAGAGAGTGTGGGTGCGCCTGGCCGCTCCTGCTCCCGCCTCCCTGCCTGGGGTGGTTGGTAGCGCTGCAGCACAGGTCACCCTCTAAAGGCAGTCCACAACTGTAGCAGCGACCACACGTAATCAACCCAGCAGAACCCTCCCCCCTCTCGCCCGCACCATCGCTACGACCATCCGCACATCCCTGCCCCGCGTGTACAGAGTCTGGGTGCGACTGGCTGCTCCTGCTCCCGCCTCCCTGTCCGGGGCTGTTGGGTGCGCTGCAGCGCAAATCACCCTCTAGGGAGAGATGCTAGGTGGGTGCACGGCTGTCGCTCTCCTGGGTGAAGAGAGTCTGCATGCGACTGGCTGCTCCTGCTCCCGCCTCCCTACCTGGGGCGGTTAGGCGCGCTGCAGCAGAGGTCACGTTGTAGGCAGAGCAGAGACTGCAATAGAATCTGAAGGCCACTAGAGCCCATACACCCGTCCCCGCCCGCCCTCCCCCCTCTCGCCCGCACCATTGCTACCACCATGCGCACCACTCTCACCCGCCTGCACGGAGCCTGAGTGCTACTGGCCACTTCTGCTCCCGCCTCCCTGTCCGGGCCTGTTGGGTGTGCTGCAGCTGAGATCACCCTGTAGACAGATATTGCACTGTGTGCCGAAAATGCTCCAGTGTAGCAAGTGCTGCATATTTTTGACATCTAATGGTTTATGTTCATAAACGTTCATTGAAACCGTCATAACAAAATTTCCTTGCTTCAATAGTGGCACTAAAACAAATATTTATACACATGTATAAATACTACAGTACGGTAATAATATCAGTCCATACTAGAGCCCCATGTAACACATGGATCGTCGTCCATTACTAATAGCAATTTCTTCTTGCCCTGAAAGTGTACCGCCAGCAATTGCACCACCTCCCCTTTGTTTTGCCTCCTGCCCACAAAAGGCTCGAAATATTCGTAACGCACTGAGGTTGGCGTCTTCATGCCTTCCCTCGGGCAGAAGTGAAAAAATTTCTTCTTGCCCTGGGGTAAGAACAGAATGAAAGATTAGGCATAAGGGGCAGGCAGCAAGCAATGGAGGTAGTGACTTAAAAGGTGTCTTTCTAAAGGTTTGTAGTGTTCTCTAGGGATTTATTTTTCCTTTCATTTTCTTTTTTCTTTTCCTTTTCTTTTTCTTTTTCCCTTCGTGATTGAGGCTTCTGTGCTAATGAAAGATGCTGCTACAGTGCCTGCCCCCATTACAGAGCCGCCACTCGATGCTGGTAGATACTTAGGGTACATTCCTGTCTTGACATTTGTGTCACAAAGCGGCGGTACCGCTCTGTACCGAATCGAACCGCTTTGTTGAAACATTTCGAACTTGGGTTCGATTCGGTACAGAGCGGTACCGCTGCTTTGTGACACGAATGTCAAGACAGGAATGTTCTCTTACAATTAAAAAGTACCATACCATACCATAAAACGTTGTGCAACAGCGTACAAAGCCATACAATGCCGTACAAACTTGAAACTGCAACACCCAGCAACAATTCAGCAGCAGCATACTCACAACAGAGAAGTTGTTATCGAAGGCACACCACCCGGCATTGCTCCAAGCACTCGCCTCACACTGCCGCGGCGCACACAGCGACTCCGCCTTAAAGGCTGGCTGGAACTTGCCGTGCAGACGCGGGTACTGGGCGGATCCCTCGTCCTTGCACTGCCGGGGAAGGAGAGGGAGAGGGGGGAAGGGGGAAACCAAGAAAGGGGGAAAGCGGGGGAGGGTGGAAGGGGGAAAGGGGAAAAGTTGAGAGGCGAGACCTTGTCCGAGCAGGCGGGGGTACTGGGCGGATCTCTCCTTGTCCTTTTCATTGAGGGGAAGGGAGAAAAACAATGGACAGGGAAAAGGTTGGAAGGGAGCAGGGGGGAATTCTCAGCTGTACCACCGCACCTCCCCAGCTGCACCACCGCACCACCCCAGCTGCACCACCGCACCGCACCCCAGTGCACCGCAGCCCACCCCATCCCAGCAGCAGCATGGCGGTAGAAGGAGCGGGGTGGCGTGTCCCTCGGCTCGTCGGGAGCCAAGCGTGTCCCTCGGCTCGTCGGGAGCCAAGCGTGTCCCTCGGCTCGTCGGGAGCCAAGCGTGTCCCTCGGCTCGTCGGGAGCCAAGCGTGTCCCTCGGCTCGTCGGGAGCCAAGCGTGTCCCTCGGCTCGTCGGGAGCCAAGCGTGTCCCTCAGATCGTCGGGAGCCAAGCGTGTCCCTCGGCTCGTCGGGAGCCAAGCGTGTCCCTTGGCTCGTCGGGAGCCAAGCGTGTCCCTCGGCTCGTCGGGAGCCAAGCGTGTCCCTCGGCTCGTCGGGAGCCAAGCGTGTCCCTTGGCTCGTCGGGAGCCAAGCGTGTCCCTTGGCTCGTCGGGAGCCAAGCGTGTCCCTTGGCTCGTCGGGAGCCAAGCGTGTCCCTCGGCTACCCAACACGTTTGGCTCCTACCGTTGCGGGCGCTTGGTCAGGGGGGGACGTCCAGCAGGTAGGGCTGGCATACCACCCCACCCCCCTCACCCCACCGCACCCCTAGAGCACACCCCTAAATCTCACCATTGCGGGCGCTTGGTCAGGAGGGGACGTCCAGCAGGTAGGGATGGCATACCACCCCAGCTGAATCATGTCGTTGTACGTGCGCTGGCGATCTGGCAGGGAGGGGTCTCCTGGGGTCCCTCCCTTTACCGCCGCCTGTAAAGAGAGAAAGAAAGGGGTTGAAATGAGACAAGAGAATGAGATGAAACAACTCCATGTCGTTGTATGTGCGCTGCTGAGCCGGCAGGGAGGGGTCTCCTGGGGTTCCTCCCTTCACCGCCACCTGTGAAGAGAGAACAGGGGGGGCGCAATGTGATGAGACAAGGGAATGAGATGAAGCGACTCCCTGCTGCACCATGTCGTTGTATGTATGCTGAGCGGGCAGCGATATGGAAATCACTTTTGAGAATTCTCAAAAGTGTATGCTGAGCCGGCAGCGTGGGGTCTCCTGGGGGTTCCTCCCTTCACCGCCACCTGTAAGGAGGGGGAATGATAGCAGGAGAGGGATCAGCAGGAGGAAATGAGTGAGAGGGGATAAAAAGCACCCAGCCCAGCTGAATCATGTCGTTGTATGTGCGCTGCTGAGATGGCAGCGAGGGGTCCCCCGGGGTCCCCCCCGCCACTGCCTCCTGTGAAGCGGGAGTGCAAGCGAGAAGGGTGGGGGGACTATCTGAAGAGGGAAGGGGCTGGCATACCACCCCAGCTGAATCATGTCGTTGTATGAGCGCTGCTGAGATGGGAGCGAGGGGTCCCCCGGGGTTCCTCCTTTCACCGCCACCTGTAAAGCAGGAGAATGAGAGCAGGAGAGGGAGGGAATGAGCAGGAGGGAATGAGTGAGAGGGGAGATGAAGCACCCATTCCAACTGCAGTGCTAGAGAAACCATGAGTTACGATCACTCGCACACTTTTGGAGCAACCGCAAGCCCAGTGCAAGGACAGCTGATATTAATGTACCCCCCAAACAGGACCGGCGCTCACCTGGAAGAAGCGCACGAAGAATGCCAGAAAGTCCGCCAGGGCTTCCGTTGACCAGAGAGACACGTGGCCGCTCACTGCCCTGACGCGCACACTGTTGGACTGCATGCCCAGTGCAAGCCTTGTCTCCCAGACAGACCCCCGCATATACCCATGGCTGGAGCCACACTCGCCTGGAAGAAGAGCACGAAGAATGCGAGGAAATCCGCCAGGGCTTCCGTTGACCAGAGAGACACGTGGCCGCTGGTTGCATTCATGCATGCGCACACTGCTTGACCGCATGCCTAGAGCAAGCCTTGACTTACAGACAGACCCCAGCATACACCCACAGCTGAGACTGCCACCCACCTGGAAGAAGATCACGAAGAACGCAAGGAAATCCGCCAGAGCTTCCGTTGACCAGAGAGACACGTGGCCGCTGGTTGCATTCATGCGCACACTTTTGGACCGCACGCAGAGAGCAAGCTTTGCCTCCGGCAGGTGTGACTGTACGAACTGCGTGACATTAACGAATAGAAGCACGTCACAGTCGGTGTAAAACACCCGGGAAATGTTTCTTCTGACCATCATTTCGTGTAGGAAGAACCAGCGGATATGATACGCCTTCAAATTCCCTATCCCCTCTACAAGCTGCTCCTCTATATGGGCTGACTCCTCATAATCCTCGTATGCTTCTAACTCAATGCCGAGTTCGGTCATTTCTTCCCGGCACGCGCGCGGGCCAATGAGAATGACCCACGTGTTGTGCAGCAGTGCCTGGCGGAGAGACGCCTGCATGTACCTCCTCCGGTTGCAACCTGCCTCCCCCCGCAGAAACTGCACCACTGGAATCATGCCTGGGTGGGTGTTGCCTGATTGGGTGGACTTTTGAGGCGCATTGAAAGCACGAGTTGCTGAGGCGCTATCTGCATGATCAGTGGAAATGCTGCCATCAGTACCGCTACTGGTGGTGGCATCGCTGCTCTCAGCTGCTGCTGCTGCTGCCGCTCCTGTCCCTTGTGCCGCCCCTGGTGTCGCCCCTGCCCTTTGTGCCGCCCCTGCCCTTTGTGCCGCCCCTGGTGCCGCCCCTGCCCTTTGTGCCGCCCCTGATGCCGCCCCTTGTGCTGCCATAGGAACACTGCCAGCGTCAGCAGCAGGAGTAGCAGCAGCAGGGTTAGCAGGGTGAGCGGGAGCAAGAGGGTTATGAGGAGGAGCAGAAGCATGAGGGTGAGTGGGAGTAGCGACCCCGGGAGCCTGCATTGCTGGAACGCTGGTGCTGAGCGGGAGGAGGGTCAGCAGAGGAAGCTTCTCGTTCCTTTCCTGCTGCTGACGCAGCTGCTGCTGACGCATCTCCTCCTGCTGCAGAAGATCCGATATGACTGGTGCGTTGGCTGCTGACGAGGCTGCTGCTGACGTGGAATGCAAGGCAGACAGCCCCCCATCCGCTGAGTGGCCTGGAAAACGCTTCAAGAGGTCGATCAAAGTCATGTCTGCGAAAAGGAGGAACGCTATAGCGAGTACGACTGCCCTGTAGGAATGAGGACAGGGAGGGGAGGTTGGGGGAGGTAAGGGGGAGGTAGTGGGGAGGTAGTGAGAGGGGGAGGGTGGTAAGAGGCAAGTAAGGGGAATGAGAGAAAGATGATTGGGTGGGGAGATTGGTGGAGGTGGGAAGAAGGGTAAGGGGGGACAAGATCGACCATCCCATGCCATCCCATGCCATCCCATGCCATCCCATGCCATCCCATGCCATCCCATGCCATCCCATGCCATCCCATGCCATCCCATGACATCCCATGCCATGCCATGCCATCACATGCCATGCCATGCCATCCCATGCCATCCCATGCCATCCCATGACATCCCATGCCATGCCATGCCATCACATGCCATGCCATGCCATGCCATGCCATCCCATGCCATGCCATGCCATGCCATGCCATGCCATGCCATGCCATGCCGTGCCATCCCATCCCATCCCATCCCATCCCATCCCATCCCATCCCATCCCATCCCATCCCATCCCATCCCATCCCATCCCATCCCATCCCATGCCATGCCCCGCTCCATTACTCATGCAAAACACGCTCAGCAGCAGCCATACCGTACCAAACCACACCGCATCGCACCTCACCACACCACGCCGCACTCCGCTACTCACGCACAACGCGGTCAGCACGAGGAGGACGGATGCGGGCCCACTCCGCGCCGCCATCCAGACAGCTTGCTGCACCGTCAAGTCCTTAATCGATAAGAGGTAACTGTCTTATCGGAGATGCTTTCTATATAAACGCGCCCGATAAACGCGCAGGCGCCTTCTAGCCGCGCAGGCGCATTCAATGCGTCTTCCCAACGCGTCCGCCCTCCGCGCGGTTGACGTCACGGTCGCGACGTCCGCACTTTCAGCCCTGCGCGCGCGGAAGTGTGTGCCTTTCCGCCATCGCTTGCGCTTCGGCGAGCAGCCGCTGCTCCACAGGGCGACACGTGGAAGGGGAGTGGCGATAATCCCATCTAGGTCAGCGTCGCGGAGCGCTGTGGGTGGCATCTACAGCAGTACTGTACCAGTTTCAGTTCAGCCAGCTGGGGTTGCCTGTTTGGACGGTTGTACGGACGGAATTTCGCCTCTCACGATTGTATGGACGAACTTTCGCGCCTTCACGATTGTACGGACGAAACTTGGCGCCTTTACGAGACTCGATTGAGGGGCACCCGGAAATAGTTACAATCGAGAAACGAATAGAAACTGACTTGAGAGTTCTAACAGACTATTATGAAGGGAACACACAAATTACATCAACGCATTTATCGTGAATGCTAGTGTATCCCTGTTCGTTTATACTCGCATAGATTCAGGTCACGTTACGTATGGTGATGGATCGTCCAATATAAAGCAGTCACCGCATTGAAACCCCGTGTCGTGCATTCATAACGTTCAGAACCGTTTTGAAATCCTGACGACGGTCGTGACCCACACAGTTTGGAACACGTCAATGTGGCACAGTTTCGGTCTGTTCCCAACCCTCATCCAGTGTGTCGAATGTGACGGGTCCTCGTTGCCATGTCAATACAGCATATATGATCCCATATTGGGGCTTTGTAGCGGTATCTATTGCCATGTCCTCCTTATAGTGCAATGCAGCCACACCTATTTGTGTATACCATGGCACATTCTCCTTTGTGCCATCCTCATACTGGTATTGGAGAAATATATATGGGCATGCTTGATTATTCTAAATTCACCATAGAAAAACATTCACATCACAACCACCGTAAGATCAATCCTTGCTGGAGCCCCAAGTAACACAGGGATCGTCGTCCTTCAATTGTGATTTCTTCCTGCCCTGAAAGTGTACCGCCAATAACTGGACAGCCTCCCCTTTGTTCTGCCCCCTACCCACAAACGGCTTGAAATACTCGTAGCGCACTGAGGTTGGTGTCTTCATGCCTTCTCTCGGGCAGTAGTGAAACTTTCTCTTCTTGCCCTGGGATCAGAACACAACAAAAGATTGGACAGAAGGGACGGCAGGCAAGCGTTATACTTAATCATGCCAGGATCTTAAAATACAATGCCATACATTACAATGCAGACAGTGCCGTACAATGCCAGACAACGCCGTAATGTGTTGTACAACTTTGCACCACACTCTCAACGGAGAAGTTGTTATCGAAATCGAAGGTGCATCACCCGGCATCGCTCCAAGCACCGGCGGTAATACTACAACACCAACCCCCCCCCCCCCCCCCCCCCTCCCCGATAACTGTGCAGCATAACTACAACATTTTAGAATGGCACTCACAACAGAGAAGTTGTTGTCGAAGGCACACCACCCGGCATCGCTCCACGCACTCGCCTCGCACTGCCGGGGCGCACACAGCGACTCCGCCTTGAAGGCTGGCTGGAACTTGCCGTGCATGAGCGGGTACTGGGCTGACTTCTCCTTGTCCTTGCACTGCCATGGGGAAGGGAAGGGAGAGGGGAAAGGGGGAAACCGAGAAAGGGAGAGGGTGGAAGGGAAGGGGGAAAGAGGAAAAGCTGGGAGGCGAGACCTTGCCGTGCAGGTGGGGGTACCGGGGGGATTGTTCCACCTGACCGGCTCCGGTCCCCCTGACCGGCTTGGTCCCCCTGACCGGGTCCGCTGTCCTTGCACTGCTGATGGAGGCGATGGGCAGGAGGGGCTGCAGGAGGCCCCTCCTTGTCCAGGAGGCGATGGGCAGGAGGGGGGATTGTTCCTTGTCCTTGCACTGCCGATGGAGGCGATGGGCAGGAGGGGGGATTGTTCCTTGTCCTTGCAGTGCCGATGGAGGCGATGGGCAGGAGGGGGGATTGTTCCTTGTCCTTGCAGTGCCGATGGAGGCGATGGGCAGGAGGGGGGATTGTTCCTTGTCCTTGCAGTGCCGATGGAGGCGATGGGCAGGAGGGGGGATTGTTCCTTGTCCTTGCAGTGCCGATGGAGGCGATGGGCAGGAGGGGGGATTGTTCCTTGTCCTTGCAGTGCCGATGGAGGCGATGGGCAGGAGGGGGGATTGTTCCTTGTCCTTGCAGTGCCGATGGAGGCGATGGGCAGGAGGGGGGATTGTTCCTTGTCCTTGCAGTGCCGATGGAGGCGATGGGCAGGAGGGGGGATTGTTCCTTGTCCTTGCAGTGCCGATGGAGGCGATGGGCAGGAGGGGGGATTGTTCCTTGTCCTTGCAGTGCCGATGGAGGCGATGGGCAGGAGGGGGGATTGTTCCTTGTCCTTGCAGTGCCGATGGAGGCGATGGGCAGGAGGGGGGATTGTTCCTTGTCCTTGCAGTGCCGATGGAGGCGATGGGCAGGAGGGGGGATTGTTCCTTGTCCTTGCACTGCCGATGGAGGCGATGGGCAGGAGGGGGGATTGTTCCTTGTCCTTGCAGTGCCGATGGAGGCGATGGGCAGGAGGGGGGATTGTTCCTTGTCCTTGCAGTGCCGATGGAGGCGATGGGCAGGAGGGGGGATTGTTCCTTGTCCTTGCAGTGCCGATGGAGGCGATGGGCAGGAGGGGGGATTGTTCCTTGTCCTTGCAGTGCCGATGGAGGCGATGGGCAGGAGGGGGGATTGTTCCTTGTCCTTGCAGTGCCGATGGAGGCGATGGGCAGGAGGGGGGATTGTTCCTTGTCCTTGCACTGCCGATGGAGGCGATGGGCAGGAGGGGGGATTGTTCCTTGTCCTTGCAGTGCCGATGGAGGCGATGGGCAGGAGGGGGGATTGTTCCTTGTCCTTGCAGTGCCGATGGAGGCAATGGGCAGGAGGGAAGGAAAGGACAAGGGAGTTGGTCTTTTGAGGCGCCTCAAAAGTCGGGTACTGGGGGGATTGTTCCGCCTGAGGCTCCGGTTTCCCTGACCGGGTCTGCTGTCCTTGCAGTGCCGATGGAGGCGATGGGCAGGAGGGGGGATTGTTCCTTGTCCTTGCACTGCCGATGGAGGCGATGGGCAGGAGGGGGGATTGTTCCTTGTCCTTGCACTGCCGATGGAGGCGATGGGCAGGAGGGGGGATTGTTCCTTGTCCTTGCAGTGCCGATGGAGGCGATGGGCAGGAGGGAAGGAAAGGACAGCGGTGCCGGTCAGAGGGACTGTTCCAGCAGGTAGGGCTGGCATACCATACCACCCCACCCCAGCTGCACCATGTCCTTGTATGGCAGCAGGGAGGGAGAGGAAGAAAGGGAGAGGGGGAAAGACGGAGTGCAGGGGCCGGTTACACACAGTGCCTCAAGGAACACAGTGCAGGGGCCGGTTACACACAGTGCCTCAAGGAACACAGTGCAGGGGCCGGTTACACACAGTGCCTCAAGGAACACAGTGCAGGGGCCGGTTACACACAGTGCCTCAAGGAACACAGTGCAGGGGCCGGTTACACGCAGTGCCTCAAGGAACACAGTGCAGGGGCCGGTTACACACAGTGCCTCAAGGAACACAGTGCAGGGGCCGGTTACACACAGTGCCTCAAGGAACACAGTGCAGGGGCCGGTTACACGCAGTGCCTCAAGGAACACAGTGCAGGGGCCGGTTACACACAGTGCCTCAAGGAACACAGTGCAGGGGCCGGTTACACACAGTGCCTCAAGGAACACAGTGCAGGGGCCGGTTACACACAGTGCCTCAAGGAACACAGTGCAGGGGCCGGTTACACGCAGTGCCTCAAGGAACACAGTGCAGGGGCCGGTTACACACAGTGCCTCAAGGAACACAGTGCAGGGGCCGGTTACACGCAGTGCCTCAAGGAACACAGTGCAGGGGCCGGTTACACGCAGTGCCTCAAGGAACACAGTGCAGGGGCCGGTTACACACAGTGCCTCAAGGAACACAGTTCCTATACCTCACCGTTTTGGGCGCTTGGTCTGGAGGGGAGGTCCAGCAGGTAGGGCTGGCATACCACCCCAGCTGCACCATGTCGTTGTATGTGCGCTGCTGAGCTGGCAGGGAGGGGTCGCCTGGGGTTCCTCCAGCTACCGCCTCCTGTACGGGGAGGGTGAGATTGAGGGAATACTTGCGTGCATGATGAGAGGGAGGGAATGAGATTGTGAGAAGGGATGAAGCAGCACCCATGGCATACACCACCCCAGCTGCACCATGTCGTTGTATGTGCGCTGCTGAGCTGGCAGGGACGGGTCGCTGACATGGCAACACTCCACCCATAGTTGAGACTCCCACTCACCTGATTCGGCACTGGTGAAGGCTTGCTAGGGGGCTCCCTACAGCCGAGACATGTTTGTCCGTCCGTGTTTTAGCCGAAACATGTTTGTCCGTGTTTTAGCCACAGCTTAGTGAAGAGCTTCGACTTTACAGAACCCTACGTGAACTAGCTAGGTTCTTTCTACAACTGTTTTCTCCTTTGCTAAACCTTCTACCTAAAACTGCTGCTCGCTGGATTGTCTAACAATTCACAGCAGCTGACATGGCAACACTCCACCCACAGCTGAGACTGCCACTCACCTGAAAGAAAACCACAAAGAGGGCGAGGAAATCCGCGAAAGCGTCAACCGTCCAGAGTGAGACGTGGCCGCTGACTGCCCTGATGCGCACACTGTGCGACCAACCAACCGCATACCCACCCACGGCTGGGACTGGCACTTGCCTGAAAAAAAGGTGACAAAAAACGCCAGAAAGTCCGCCAGGGCTTCAACCGACCACAAGGAGACGTGCACTGCTGCGCACACTGTTTGATCTTATTCCGAGCAATGACACACCCAGAGCTAGTTGACTTTTGAGTCGACTCAAAAGTCAACTCAATGACACACCCAGAGCTGCCACTTGCCTGGAAGAAAATAACAAAAAACGCCAGAAAGTCCGCTAGAGCCTCCATGGACCAGAGAGAGACGTGCCCGCTGACTGCCCTGATGCGCACACTGTTGGATCGCATGCCCAGCGCTAGCTTTGCTTCTGGCAGGTGTGACTGTACGTACTCCGTGACATTAACGAATAACAGCACGTCACAGTCGGTGTAAAAGACCCTCGAAATGTTCCTCCGCACCATCATTTCGTGCAAAAAAAACCACCGGATATGATAGGCCATAACCTTCCCTATCCCCTTCATATACTGCTCCTCTATACGTGCGGTCTCTTCATAGTCTTCATATGCTTCTAACTCAATGCCGAGTTCGGTCATTTCTTCCCGGCACGCGCGAGGGCCAATGAGAATGACCCACGTGTTGTGCAGCAGTGCCTGGCGAAGGGAGGCCTGCATGTACCTCCCCCGGTTGCACCCTGCCTCCCCCCTCAGAAACTGCACCACTGGGATCAGACCTGGGTGGGTGTTGCCTGATTGGATGGAGGGATGGGCTGGGACGGTAGTGGCGGCAGCACTGCTTTCAGAACTGCTGCTGATGGTGGTGGCGATGCTGCTTTCAGCAGCTGTTGCTGCCGCCCCTTGTGTCGGCCCAGAACCACTGTCAGCATCAGCATCAACCGCATCAGCAGAAGCGGCGGCAGTAGCAGCAGCAGGAGTAGCAGAAGCAGGGTTAGCAGCATCAGGCCTAGCAGAGTTAGCGGGAGCAGCAGGGCTAGTAGTAGCAGCAGCGATCCCGGGAGCCTGCATTGCTGGATCTCTGGCTCGTGTGCTCACATGCTTTCGAGCCTGCATTGCTGGATCTCCGGCTTTAAGCAGGAGGAGTGTCAATATAGGAAGCTTCTCATTCCTTTCCTGCTGCTGACGTAGCCGCTGCTGACGCATCTCCTCCTGCTGCAGCAGATCCGATATGACTGACATGTTGGCTGCTGACGTGGCTGCTGCTGACGTGGAATGGAGGGCAGACAGGCCCCCATCGGCTGAGTGGCCTGGAAAGCGCTTGAAAATGCCGATCAGGATCACATCCGCGAAAAGGAGGAACACTATAGCGAGTACAACTGCCCTGTAATGATACGAACAAGGAGGGAGGGAGGCAGGGGGGTGGTAGAAGGGAGGTAAGCAGGAGGTAGGGGAAATGAGCAGAAGGTCGATTACATGGGGGGGGTTGGTGGAGGGGGATAGAAGGTCAGAGGAACCAGACCTACCCTGGAGGGGGATAGAAGGTCAGGGGAACCAGACCTACCCTGGAGGGGGATAGAAGGTCAGGGGAACCAGACCTACCCTGGAGGGGGATAGAAGGTCAGGGGAACCAGACCTACCCTGCTACTCACACACAGCACGGTCAGCAGCCCTACCGCACCATACTATGCCGTACGACTCCGTACCCATACCATTCCATACCATTTCATTCCATACCGTTCCATTCCATACCGTACCATACCATACCTTCTATTCCATACCGTTCCATTCCATACCATACCATACCATACCAGACCATTCCATTCCATTCCATGCCATGATACTCACGAACTATGGGGTCAGCGGCAACCATGCCGTACCGCGCCATACCACACCACAAGATGCCATACCGCTCCACACCGCAACACACCATTCCACACCACACCACGCCACAATCCTCCGCTACTCACGCACAACGCGGTCAGCACGAGGAGTACAGACGCCGGGCCACTCCGCGCCGCCATCTAGACTGCTTGATACACCCCCAAGTCTTAATCGAGAAGAGCTATTTGGTTAGTTTTTTTTTTTTTTTTTTTTTTTTTTTTTTTACTAGAGACGCAGGCGACCTTTAAATGCGTCCTCTCAACGCGCTCGCGCCTGCCCTCCGCGCCGTTGACGTCACGGTCACGGCTTCCGCACGTCAGCCCTGCGCGCGCGGAAGGGTGCGCCTTTCCGCCATCGCTTGCGATTCGCCGATCGACGAGCAGCCGCTGCTCGACGGGACGACCGCGGTACGGCGAAAGAGCGACGTGGAAGGGGAGTGGCTGGCGATTATCCTGTCTAGGTCAGCGTCGCGCAGTGCTGGGCGGGTGGTACCCACAATACAATTTTCAGTCAAATGGGGTTGCCTGGACGGTTGTACGGACGAAATTTGGCGCCTTTACATGACCCGATTGAGGAGCAACCGGAAAGAGTTACAATCACACACGAAGAAGGTGCAGGGAGTGACTAAAGAAGTTTTAATATGAACAATACACACATAGTAACTTCTACACATTTATCGTACAACGTTTTACATTTGTTAATGAAGAGCTATTCGCTAATCAGGGCTTGAGCCCCAATGGCTTGTAGGATCGGGTTGCATAATCAACGACTTTCGGGGGCCTTGGAAGTGCACGCATAGGAATTGAACGGGCTTGTCTTGAGGCTTGCCGACCCAGTCAGTGAAATGATCGTAATGCATGGATGTAGGGGTCTTCATTTTCAACGGATCGTAGTGAAATGTAGTGTGGTTGATCTGTGCGGTGGGGAAGGCAGGAGGGAAGATGGGGGGAGGATGATTGGGGTATTAGACAGAGAGGCAAACAGCCAGTTACAGCGGAACTGAACCGGCTTGTGTTGTAGTTTGGTCACCCAGTCTGTGAAATGGTGCGTGGATGTAGGGGTCTTCATTTTCAATGGATCGTGAAGGAATGTCGTGTAGTTGTTCTGTGAGGTGGCAAAGGTGGGGAACGAAATGCATGAAATCAGTATAGTTGTCGTAATGCACGGATGCTGGAGTTTTCATCTTCAATGGATCGTAATGCAAAGTGGTGTGGTTGTTCTGCGAAAGGAAGACCGGGTGCAAGGTGAGGCTTGAATAATTTGGAGACAAACAGACAGACATACAGAGATTATAGAAATTGTTCATTATGCAACCATTCTCAATTTTAAAACTACGTAGTGGAAAACACACTCACAGTGAGCGAGAAGTTGTTGTCGAAGGCACACCACCCGGCATCGCTCCAAGCACTCGCCTCGCACTGCCTGGGCGCACACAGCGACTCCGCCTTGAAGGCCGGGGTGAACCTGCCTCGTATCCTCGCACTCATTACCCGCATCGATGGCGCCAGGCACTGGTGTGCGTGGGAGGGGTTGGGAGAAAGGGACGATGGGGGGGGAGGAGCACACAGTGAATCCGCCTTGAAGGCTGGGGTGATCTTGCACTCATTACCCGCATCGATGGCGCCAGGCACTAGGGGGAGGTTGAAGAGGGTGGATAAGGGGGAGAGCGAGAGTTCTGGGCTGAAGGCCTCTTGAGGTTTAGGGCGAATTCGTCTTATTGTGAGATGGCCCAAAACAAACATCAATATCATTAGGCCGCTGGGCCAGCAGATCCCAATATCATTACGTCTTGTTGTGTGACTCGTTGGTTGGTCCACCCAGACACCACCATGTCGTTGGATGCCCACATGACCACCACACACTGAGCCCCCTTCCAACTTAAGCATCTCTTTGGGGAGGCACACGTGTGCCTCTCTGTTTGCTACCTCAATTCTGGTGATATACTGTTTACTCACGTCTTTCGGAATGGTATCCTTGGCAGTGTTGGTCCAGCATACAGGAGCAGCATACCACCCCAGCACCACCATGTCGTTGTATGTCACGCCCGTGCCGACCTGCCCTCTAACACAAGCACATGCACCCCCTTCCCCACTTGCTCGCTTGTCGCTCACATCTTGTGTTGTGTACTGCCGGCTACTCACGTCTTTGGGGATGGTGTCCTTGGGAGTGTTAGTCCAGCACACAGGAGCGGCATACCACCCCAGCACCACCATGTCGTTGTATGTGCGCTGGGCTGGTAGGGATCGATCCCCCGGTGTGCCCCCCACCACACCAAGCTGCTCGCATTCGAAAAAGGGGTGAGGGAAGAAAGGGGGGACAAGGCAAGGGCGTGTTTCATGAATATCACTTTTGAGAATTTCCAAAGGAGGAGCAGCATATCACCCCAGCACCACCGTTTCGCTGTATGTGCGCTGGACTGGTAGGGATCGGTTTCCCGGTGTGCCCCCCACCACACCAAGCTACTCGGATTGGGGAGAGGGTAACGGGGGGGAAGAAGGGCAACCCAGAACGATGTGTTCCCAGGGGTGCTCAGCCCACCACCGGCAGGGAAGAAGGGCGAGCAGCAGCAGTGAGGGGCCGAGAAACACTGCATCTCAAGCAGGCAATTTTTCGGGGTGTGCCTTTTGAGTCGACTCAAAAGTCACCTCGTTACAATTGCACACGACACTTTTGAGTCGACTCAAAAGTCACCTCGTTACAATTGCACACGACACTTTTGAGCCGACTCAAAAGTCACCTCGTTACGATTGCACACGACACTTTTGAGTCGACTCAAAAGTCGCCTCGTTACAATTGCACACGACACTTTTGAGCCGACTCAAAAGTCACCTCGTTACAATTGCACACGACACTTTTGAGTCGACTCAAAAGTCACCTCGTTACAATTGCACACGACACTTTTGAGTCGACTCAAAAGTCACCTCGTTACAATTGCACACGACACTTTTGAGTTGACTCAAAAGTCACCTCATTACAATTGCACACGACACTTATGAGTCGACTCAAAAGTCACCTCGTTAAAATTGCACACGACACTTTTGAGTCGACTCAAAATGCACATGCACATGCGAAGTAACTGCTGATAGAATGGTATGAAAATGCAAATCAGCGCTACGCAAGCAGCGTGCCTGGAAGAAGAGACGGATGAAGGTAACGAAACCTCCCAGTGCTTCCTGTGACTAGAGAGGTATTTGGTGATTGCACACGGTAAGCACACGATAAGGGAACGAGGCAGCGGCGAAGGGAAGGAGCGTGCCTGGAAGAAGAGGCGGAAGAAGGTGAGGAAATCTCCCAGTGGTTCTTGTGACCAGAGAGGTATTTGGTGATTGAAATGTGAACGGTAAGAAAACGATAGGCAAATGCTAAGTCAGTGATAAAGAAACGAGGCAGCGGTGAAGAGAAGGAGCGTGCCTGGAAGAAGAGGCGGAAGAAGGTGAGGAAATCTCCCAGTGCTTCTTGTGACCAGAGGGAGACGTGCGCACTCACTGCCCTCACGTGGATGCTGCAGGTGCGGGAAAGAGAGGGGGATGGAGGCGTGGAAATGGAAATGCAGTGAGGTGAGAGTGGCATAAGTAGGGAACTCCCTGCTTTGAGACCAAGCATAAACGGTTCGGCAATCGCTCATCACTCACGTGGGGGTGCGAACGGTGAGTGCAAGTTCAGTATTGGGCAGGTGCGTGCGTGTGCACGAACTGGGTGGCATTGGCGAAGCGCAGCACGTCACAATCCATGTAGTGAAGAAAAGGGGTGAGTCACGTGTCAACAACATTCACTCACGTGGGGGTGCGCCCTGCTAGGGCCAGCTGCACGTTGGGCAGGTGCGAGTGCACAAACTTCAGCCATATGATTGGGCGAGCAGCAGTCTAAAAGAAATCTTTAGCAAAGGATTAACAGTACGATCTGTTGTTGTTCCTGCTAAAAACAAGGAGTTTCAAGAAATCCGACTCAAAATTCCACTCAAAGATTAAAACGAGGCAAACTAGTTTCGGGTGACGGGACAGGCCCCAATCACACCTTCATCAGTGCAAGTGGAAATGAAAGAGAATGAGGAAGACGAAGCATTTGGGCAAACACTACGTCTCGGAAAACAAAACTCCAGGTTGTTGCAACCGTGGCCAGAAATCTGGTTGGCCAATCCCTGATGACCTAGAAAAGTCCAAGTCTTCGGGGTCTTCATTCCTCGTGGCGTAACGTTGAAGTAACACAATCCGCCAGCTGGTGCTCAAGGAGCCTCGCGCGAACCAGTAACCTTTGCAGGTTACAACCAGTTTTCCAAGCAACAAAACAACCCTCTATGTAAAATCCGTGTGTAAGTAGACGACTTTTGAGACGTCTCAAAAGTCAGCACGTCACAATCCATGTAGTGAAGAAAAGGGGTGAGTCACGTGTCAAGAACATTCACTCACGTGGGGGTGCGCCCTGCTAGGGCCAGCTGCACGTTGGGCAGGTGCGAGTGCACAAACTGGGTGACATTGGCAAAGAGCAGCACGTCACAGTCCATGTAGAAAATGCGAGGGAGAGACCACCGGCGCATGAACTCGTGAATGATGAACCAGCGGACCTGACAGAGGGGGGATGGGGAGAGGGATACAGTCACAGATGGGAACAGCATGTGAGTGGGGAGGAGAGAGGATGTTTTCTGAAAATTCTCAAGAAACATAAGGAGAGAGGATGCTTTTTGAGAATTCTCAAAAAAACATAAGGAGAGAGGATCAGCACCCCGTCCTCGGTCGTACTCTCGTCTCAAAAACAGCACCACAGGGATTTCTCAGTATCTCTCAGTAGAACTGACCTGGTACGACACCACTTCCCCAACGCTCTTCTCAAATGCCTCCTCCACGCGTGCACTCCTCATAGTCCTCCACCTGCACTCCCTCCGCTTCCTATCTTGAGATGGATTCACCTGGTATCTCTCAAAACTCACCTGGTATGACACCACCTCCCCAACGCTCTTCTCAAACGCCTCCTCCACGCCCTCGTACTCCTCATGGTCCTCCACCTGCACTCCCTCCGCCTCCAGGTGACTTTTGAGTCGACTCAAAAGTCACCTCCTACTCCTCATAGTCATCCACTTGCACCCCCTCCACCTCCACCACCCACCTATGCTGCACTCACCTCAGATCTCCCACCACTGAACTGACCTGGTACGACACGACTTCTCCAACGCTCTTTTCAAACTCCTCTTCTACCCCTTTGTACTCCTCATAGTCCTCCACCTCCACTCCCTCCGCCTCCAGCACTCTCCTGCACACCTTCGGCCCGATAAGAATCACCCGCGAGTTCAGCCTTCTCGCCTGCTTCAGCGTCTCAAACGCGTACCGGCCCCGCCCACACCCCGTCCTCCCTCTCAGGAACTGCACCACTGGGATATCCCCGGGTGTGACCGCTACTGCCGCAGCTCCAGGGTTACCACCAGACCTGCTCCGGGGCCTGCTTCCGGAGCTGCTACCGGAGCTGTGGTCTGAGCCGCTTTCTGTTTTGCCCCTGGTGACTTTCCCACCTTGCCTTTCCGCCGTCTTTCCCCTCTCCTGCCGCTCGTCTACCCCCCCAGCTCCTCCCCCACCTCCCCCCTTGCTTCCCCACCCCCCATCCGCCTCCCTTTCCCCGTCCTCCCCGTCCCCTTCATCCCCCCACCAACCTCGTTTCCCCGCCAGAAGCTCCCGAAAAGCTGAGGGATTCTTAAGAACGTCAGCACTGCTAACCAGCCCGTGCCTGGACGGCGACTGGATCCCGCTACCCTCCTCTGCGAAAAAATCCCCTGCTGCTCGGGAGCCACTTTCTACCCGGAAATTTCCTCCTCCTGCTCCTGCTGCTGTTTCTGTTTGGAAATCCCCTCCTACTGGTGTTTGGGAGTCGAATGAAGGCTCGGAGTATTCGTCTAGTTCGGCTGCTGTTCGCATGCGCTGCTGCTCCTCCTTGGTGGTGGTGGATTGGAGGAGAGGGGCGACTCGGAGGAAATAGAGGAGGAGGAGTAGGATTGACCTGTGGGAAGGGAAGGGGAGAGGAGGGGAGGGGAAGGGAACAGAGGGGTTGTGCTGCTGTTCGCATGCGTTGCTGCTCCTCCTTGCTGGTGCTGGAGTGGAGGAGAGGGGCGAATCGGAGGAGGTAGAGGAGGAGGAGGAGGAGGAGGAGGAGGAGGAGGAGGAGGAGGAGGAGGAGGAGGAGGAGGAGGAGGAGGAGGAGGAGGAGGAGGGGGGGGAGGAGGAGGAGGAGGAGGAGGAGGAGTAGGAGAAGGGACCTGCAGGAAGGGGAATGGAAGGGGAAGGAGGGAAGAAAAGCGGGGAGAATCATGAGTCACCTGCTGCCCAGAAACTTTCTGGTGCTGCCTGCCTGGAATCCATACAGTGCTGCCCGGAACGCTCCTGGAGCTGCTGTTCGCATGCGCTGCTGTTCGCATGCGCTGCTGTTCGCAAGCGCTGCTGCTCGCATGCGCTGCTGCTCATCGTGGTAGCTCTGGGTGGTGGAGTGGAGGAGAGGGGAGATGCGGAGGCGATAGAGGAGGAGGGAGGACGAGGAGAAGCGTCTTGAGGGAAAAGGGAGGTTGGGGAACGGGGAGAGGCGGTGAAGGATGGGGGATGTGGAGATTCTAAAAGAGCGGGGGATGGGGAAAGGAATGGCAAAGGTGGGGGATTGGGGAGACTGCGGGACGAGATGGTCACTCACAGCGCGCCAATGGCAATCAGCGGAATCGCACGGCGACCGGGCGCGAGCAGTCCCGCCAATCTCTCCGATTTCACCGCGCCTTGTAGCTGACCGACTAAGTGACCCACGAGCTGACCTACTACGTCGCCCTTCCTGCCTCGCTCCGCCTTCAAGCTTCGCTCCGCCTTCACCCCCCCTCGCTCTGTCTTGGAACTTCTCTCCGCCTTCGAACCTCTCTCAGTTTTCAAGCCTCGCGAGTCTGGTTTCGACGCTCGATCCGCTTTCGACTGCGCGGCGATCGTCATTGCTCCCTCGTCTCAAAATACGCTTCCGACGGATCACATTTGTTACAAGCCTGATTTGTCGAGACTACCCCTTCGGGCTACGGAAGAGCTATAAACGGGGCTCCGCTATCCACGGGGATGGCGGTCATTGCGCCGCTCCCCTTGTCCTTCTCTCACGCATTACGCAGGGAGCTCAGTGTTTCCGACTCGCATGTCTCAATTCAATCTAGGGCGTGTTTTCAAGTCAATCATTGGAACTGTCTTCTTTGAGTCAGGCGACCAACACGTTTTGGTCGTACAGTCGCACAGGCGACTGATAGAGACACGAAATCACGAACTGGTTTGGCGACTCTCGGGAATCTGGTTACTTTTGAACAAAATAGGAGTTGATTTATTCATACTGACTGCTGAACGGCACTTCGGACAAACTTTTGCCCTTGTTCTATTCCCCTATGCCTAAAATATCTTATCATTATTCACTCCAATTAAAATGTGTAACGTTTCACATGATCTCGCACACCTCGTATAGCACTCTGTTGACAAAAGAAGGCCCTGCCTTCGCTTGGGCGAAGTCGACTTTGTTGTCCATGTAAGATGTGTAGCCAGTCAGCTAAACTTCGTGGCCGGTGCCGACTTCGAGGAGTAAGGCGGCCTGGTTGACTGACCTCGATGGAGCAGATTTCACCAGAGCCAACTTCGGCGGTTAGCCGACTTCGGTGAAGTCGACCGCTTTGAAGCCGACTTCAACAACTCTGAAGCCAAAACTTCGCAGTCGATGCTCACTTGGCGGATCCGACTTCGACGGTTAGCCAACCACCGCGAAGCCGACGTCGGCGAAGCCTACATCGGCAAAGCCGGCCATGATGTAGGCCGGCGATGTGAAGTGAGCGGTCAATGAAGGTAGTCCGTCCACATGACATCGACTTTCGAACGCCGACCTGCGGTCGTCGGCGCCTTCTTCTTACCAGCTATGCAATATGGTTAACAAAGTTTTTGTTGGAAATGGATACAGGAATGGCCCAAAATGGTCCTCCCAATGGCTACAGATGTCGTCCTGGGAGGGTATGGGTGCGCTTGCCCACTAAGTAAACATGCCCTTTTAGCCCAGTTGGTAAGCGAACTGGACAGTTTTGCGGAGGTGCGAGAACGTCGTCCAGGTGGTTTTTGCGAAGCCGACCTACGTGGAAACTTGACGTGATCACGAGGTCCACATGGAGCAGCTGTCGGCACGTGGCCGATCTAGCACCTGTGCAATGTGCGTGACGGTGCATGACGTGCTCAGCCGTCTACCCGCACCTTCGAAATACCGGAGTGGGTCCGCGCTTTTGTCATCGACGCTCCTCAGCGACCAGTGCTCAAATGTGACATACTTGTTGGAATTACTGAACAGGAATGAATGAACTAACAGTGGAATGAGTACAAGTACCTAACCCTAGAATTATGTACCCCCTATAGGCTAACCCACTGTAGCCTAAACTAACACAACATATATAATGTTTGACACACCCCCATAGGCAAAGTGGGGGAGAACTAGGGGTCACAAGACCAGTCAAGGCAAAGCAAGGCAAAACAAGCTCAGGGTGGATCTCAAGGATACCACACAAATTCCGAGCACAAGCAAGTGGTCACAAGACCAGTTCACATGCAGGTTTATAATAGAGCAAAAGATACAATGATCACAACCTAGCAAGAGTAAACATGCAGGTATATATATATATATATATATATATATATCACAGTACAAACAGACTCAAGAAGTAAGCAAGTGAGGTCCAGTAGGCACAAGGCCTAGAAGAGTGCAAAAGCGCTGATGGTCACAAGGCTGAAGCGCCTTGGTGAATACATCAGCAGTGTTGGCCTCAGAGGCCACGTAACGCAGGCGAAGCTGACCACGCTGCTGCAGCTCTCGAGCAAGGAAGTAACGCAGAGCAATGTGCTTCGTTATGTGCTCCAGTCTGTGCTCCTCACACAAGGCAATGGCTACCTTGTTGTCGACGTACAGCACTGGAGGAGAACGAGGCTGCTCTCCAAGGTCGGTCAGCAAGTAGGTGAGCCAGTGGAGCTCCTGGGCTGCCATGGCTGTGGCGTAGATCTCAGCCTCACAACTGGAGCTGAGAACAGAAGAAGAGCGAGTAGAACGCCAAGAAACTGAACCAGAGCCAAGACTGAAGGAGTAACCCTGAGACGACCGCTGAGTAGCCTGGTCGTCTGCCCAAGAAGCGTCTGAATGCCAAGTGAGAACAACTGGGACTCGCCCTCCAAGCACTAGCCCCATGCCCGACGTACTGCACAAGTAGCGCAACACCCTCTTAGCTGCATCCATGTGCTCCTTCCGGTGACAGCCGGGAGCGACATAGCGTGCAAGAATGCTGAGAGGGTATGCAAGGTCAGGTCAAGTGCAGGTCATCAGGTACATGAGGCAACCCACAAGCTCTGGATACGGGCAACTCGACTCTACGAACTCATCCGAAGGCAGAGCTGAGAGCGAGTGACCGGTAGGGAGAGGAGTGGGCTGAGGCGAGGAGTACGTGAAGCGGATGCGCTGAAGGACCTGCTGCACCATGTGTGACTGAGTCAAGGTGATGGTGCGGCGTGCTCTATCCCGGGTGATCCGCAAGCCAAGATAGCTTGTCAGTTCACCCAGGTCTGTGCACGTGTGTCTCTTCTGCAGCTCCGACTTCACGTGGGCGAGAGACTCAGTGTCAGCAGTAGCAAAGACCAAGTCGTCGACGTACACAAGGACGTAGAACGGCGGCAGTGAGGTGTCAGTGCGTAGAAACAGCGACGGGTCAGCAGTAGAAGGCGCGAACCCAAGAGCCGCAAGTGTAGTCCTCAGTGTGTCGTGCCACTCACGAGGCGCCTGGCGGAGACCGTAGACTGGCCGTCGGAGGCTCCACTGGGTACCAGGAGGGAACGACCCAGTGAAGCCAGGTGGACGGCGCAGCCAGATCTCCTCATGCAGACTGCCCTGTAGGAAAGCAGTGCTGAAGTCAAGCGAGTGGAGCTCGTAGTCACGCTGAGCGGCGACGTGCAGTAGAACCCGAAGAGTGGTCATCTTCGGGGTCAGGGAGAAGGTCTGGAAGAAGTCAACTCACTCTCGCTGACTGAAGCCTCGTGCAACATAACGTGCCTTGAAGACAGGCGGAGAGCCCGGCGGCAGCTTCACCCTGAAAATCCACATGCCACTGACGATGTTCGCCCCAGGTGGGGGAACCTCGTCGACGTAGGTGCCTGTGGACTTCTAGGAAGCCATCTCTGTGTCCATGGCTGACTGCCACTGAGAGGAGTAGGGACAGGCCATCGCCTCTGCGTAAGAGCGTGGGGTCGGGATGTCTGGTGCATCCGGGTCTCCCTCAGGGGCAACAAGCATGGACATGAGATGGGGCAAAACGGCAACAAAGCACTCAAACTCCTCCTGCCTGTCCTCAAGGACGTCAGTGCGAAGAGCACACTCACCCCCGACGGACGGAGGACAGACAGACCCAGAATCAGCAACCAGGCTAGCAGCGTAGTCTAGACGACGGGTGGCAGCAAAGTCGACAAGCTCACCAACTAAGGCAGACGGAGCAGCAGACTCAAAGGAAGGGTCAGTGACAACAGTAGCCATGAGACGCATGAGAGTAGGACTGGCAGCACGAAGAGAGTCTGACCCAGGGTCAGCAAGAGCAGGAAGAGAGGAAGCAGGAGGAGACGGCAGTGGGACACGCTGTGGAGCAGTGGACGGACGAAGCGCCATCCGGTGAGTGCCTGGGACAGCAGGAAGACGCTGACGCTTGACACGACTACCAAAGAGAGCAGGACGGACAGGCGACGCAGGACGAGACTCAGGCGATGCAAGACGAGACTCAGGCTCACGACGCTCAGTAAGACCTCCAGACGGACAAGTGTAAGGAGCAGGACCAGGGAGAAAGGAGGCAGACGGTAACTGCGACTGCAGCTGGACAGACGGAGGACACGCTAAGGAGGGAGGAGGACAAGGAGGAGGGAGCTGACCAAGAACCTGCTGAAGGAGCGGAACAAAGTACGGCCGTGACCGTGCAGCGACACCAGAGCCAACAGGGACACCCGCACCAGGGTCCGCAGCACCAGCAGCAGCTCCAACACCGGGGTCCTCAGCACCAGTAGAAGCACCAATGCACGGGTCCGCAGCACCAGCAGCAGCTCCAAAACCAGGATCCGCAGCACCAGCAGCAGCTCCAACACCTGGGTCCTCAGCACCAGCAGCAGCTCCAACACCTGGGTCCGCAGCTCGAGCAGCAGCTCCAACACCTGGGTCCTCAGCACCAGCAGCAGCTCCAACACCCGGGTCTGCAGCACCAGTAGTAGCTCCAACACCTGGGTCCTCAGCACCAGCAGCAGCTCCAACACCTGGGTCCGCAGCACCAGCAGCAGCTCCAACACCTGGGTCCTCAGCACCAGCAGCAGCTCCAACGCCCGGGTCCGCAACACGAGGCACGCCACTCCGAAGAGTGCAGCGCCGCTCGTACCACTCACGGATCCGCTCACGGGAGGGGAGCTCCCGAACGGGAGGAGAAGCACTAGCACCAGTCCCAGCAGCACGCCCGGCTCGAGTGGCACCTCTCCTGAGGCTGCAGTACTGTAAGTACCACGTACGCAGCTGCTCCGAGGAGAGGGCTCCTCCAGGTGTAGGACTCCCAGGCCCAGTACCTCCAGACCCAGAACCCCCAGACTCCGGACTCTGCGGCTCAGCACCCCGAAGCTCAGCACCCCCAAGCTCAGCACCCCCAGGCTCCACACCCCCAGGCTCAGTACCCTCAAGCTCAGCACCCCCAGGCTCCACACCCCCAGGCTCCACACCCCCAGGCTCCACACCCCCAGGCTCAGCACCCCCAGGCTCAGCACCCCCAGCAGGACGAGAGTCGATAGCTACCTCAACAGGCTCAACCGGGTCTACCTGAGACACACCTGAGGGAGTGGCACCCTGAGGGGGGAGGGGGTCTACAACAGCAGCACCTGGGGCGAGGAAGAGAGGCAGGGGGGGGAGCGGGGCAGTGCGGTAG